TGTAATTGTAAAAGCATGTATGCTCTAAATTCATGTAGTTACTTTTTCCAGTGGAAAAGCCTGGTATGTGAAAGCATTTTCAGGCTCTGCAATTTCACATGAACAGATTTTTGGTAATGACTCTGTGCCCCTCACCCAGGATGGCATCTGGACAGTGACCCCCTTTCTTCTGGCTGACTAGTCAGAGAGAGACTTGGAAATAGTTTCTGCCAGATCCTGTGCTTTGGCAAGGCTGTGCAGCATTGCATATCATTCTATTATTAATTACATTTACTCCTCCGTGAACTAAAAACCATTAGACTAAATAGTCCAACATAAACCTTGAAAGATAAAATTTGATATTCCTTTTGCAGACTATTTCTATGACTCAGAATTGGGACTGGGAGGAGAATGGTGGCACGGGGGAGAGGACCAAGGAGGCTTCTTGCCTGAGAAAATTTGGCCTACGCTTATTAGTGTACACTTATCTTTGGATGCACCCCTTACTAATCTTTCATTCCATGCCTGCCAAGGACTGGCTTTGTTCCCTGCCTCTTGTCCTGTCCTGCTTCTTCCCCACTCATCTCCAACTGACCCTCCTCCCCATTAACATGCTATTCAACCTGATGAAATGGAAAGAGTACCACCCAAGAAGTCAGGATACCTGAGTCTGTTTTGTGATCTGTTACTATCTAGCTGTGTGACTGGGGGCAAAACAGCTCTGGCCTTCATTCTACTCATCTTTTAAACAGGGATTGGTTTGAACAGGAGAGGAAGGGGTAGACAAAATCTGGGGCCTTCAAACATCCTCTTGGCAATGTGACTTTTTCTTCAAACAAAATCTGACGAAGAGTCCCAAATGTAGATACGGAATAAAGCACTGCTGTTCTAGTTTGAAAGAAGGAGCCACATCCTCAGGCCCACTTTGCCTCCTCTCAGAGGCCCTTAATGGAACTTGTAGACCTCTTGAGGCTCTACTGTCGTAGTAGGTTTGATGTCTGGGGCTCTTATAACTCTGATTCTCTCTCCTAATTGATTTCAGTCCCCTTGGAAACTCGGTATGGTTCATCAGGTAGCTTATTCAGAAAGAAGCTTACCTGCTTAAGATAAAGGGGATGAAGCAGAGCAGTGTGGGGCCCAGCAGCCAGCAAAAGTAAAAGGCAGAATTTATTGGCTCATGGAATTTACTCTGTTCTAAGCACCTTTGTCTTAGCATGCTTTCTCTTGGGGAAAATTACAACAATGCTGTGAGACGGTCCTATTATTATCTTAGGATTCTGAAACCTGTCAGTTTGGCCCTCAACCTTTGGCTTGAGACCAGATGCCCAAGGTGGAAGGCTATGCTTCCTATAGGTTGCCACCCTAGGCAGTTTTTCAGAATGTTTTCTAACTGAAGATCCAGTATTGGAAAACGTCATAGCCTGCCCAACGGCATACACTTTTACCAGATTCAGAGCACTTTCACTGAGATCATTTCATTTCCTCCTAATAATAGTCCTATGCAGTAGTCAGGTCAGATTGGAGCCAATATATAGATGAGAAAATGGAGGTGCAGGAGACGTCAAGGGATATGTTCAAGGTCACATATCCCATAAGACTCTGAATTCACCACCACAGTAATAAAAAGTCCTTTATTGCAAATAACATTTTAGAACTTTGATGTCATCATTGCATTGTGCCTCCTTAAGTTTAGTGTATTTATTTTTTCATCATGCTTCAGTCTTGGAGAGTCCTTCTGGTGGTGTAGAATCATCCCTCCGCTCACAGGTGCCACCACAGTAACTACATATTCCTCATTAAAAACTTTATTATTTAGGTATTAATAATATCTCCCACTTTACAGATGAGGAAATTGAGGTACAGAGAGGCTAGGTCTTGTCCAAAGTCACACAGCTAGTAAGCGTCGAGCCAGGCTTACGACAGATGGTCTGAATCCAAATGCTCTGCTCTTAACTATTGCCTTTTATACATATATGAGAAAACCAAGTGCAAAAGGAGGAAAAGGATGTGCTCAAGGTCATATAGTGAGCTCCCCTGAATCGTAATCCAGTGTTCATCTGATCTTCTAAGCCTAAAGTTGTACAGGGAGATCCTCAGACTGCAGCCCCAGTGGATGAAAAGATGGCTGGCGTGATGGAAGCCAGAGGCCACACACTGGCTTTCCCCAGGCCGATATTCACTTACAAAATTCTGTTTGCCCAGCACAGTCTTTGTTTAGAAAATTGACATAGACCGCCCCTAGGCAGGGCATCAATTACTTTCACTTTCCCCAGCCTACCCTATTTTTGTGCACTAGGCTATTTTACTCATTTACATATCTGCCTGACTAGTGAAGATATTTGAGTTCATGACCCCTTTATTTAAGCACTGTAAGATAGAAGCAGCTACACACACACACACATACTCAAATACACGCATATGAGTATGGCCTAGTCTGGCTTTCACAAAGAATTTGCAGCCCTGCACTGAACATGTCTTCATGTTTACTTAGCATTTAGAATTACACTTAAGATCTGACTTCAGTCTTATAAGCAGTTATGTGCAGAAGAAACTCAGTTGCTGTTTTTCATTTTATAATGTGTTACTCTTCCCTTCTCTGCTATATCTGGTTCTCTTAATCCTGCTGTGTTCCTTCTTCCCCGTGCCTGAGTTAGGTTGCCCGCAGACCATTCACTCCCAGCTCTTTAGAAATGAACGGAGAGTAAAGGAGTCATTTTGGAGGGCTCATTATGGGCCAGGCATTCTCTCTCATTCAGTTCTCATAAGTGTCCTAAGAACTAGGTGGTGGTACCCCCATTTTACAAATGAGGAAACTGAATCTCAGAAAAGCTGAGAGAGCAAGGAGTTCGAACTTACAAAGCTAGTAATTGCCAGAGCTGGGATTTGAACTCAAGATCATCTGACTCTGAAGCCTATTATCTTGCCCTATTCCACACTTCTGTAAGGAAAGTGTATTAGTTTTTTATTGCTGCATAACAAATGACCACAAACTTAGCAACTTCAAACAGTACCTATTTATCAGTTCACAGTTCTATAAGTCAAAAGTCTGACACAGCCTGACGGGCTGTTCTCAGCTCAGGGTTTCACAAGTATGAAATCAAGGTGTTGGCCAGCCTGCATTTTAATCTGGAGCTCAGGGTTCTCATCCAAGTTCATGTGATTATGACAGGATTCAGTTCCTTGCATTTGTAGGATTAAGGTTCCCATTTCCTTTCTGGCTGCCGTCCAGAGGCTGCTCTCAGCTCCTAGAGGCTGTTCTCATTTCTTGGCGTATTGATCCCTCCACCTTCAAAGCCAGCAACAGAGAATCTTCCTTATGTTGAATTCCCCGGACTCCACAGATGTCTTTCCAGAAAGAGCCTTGTCCCTTTTAAGGGTTCATCTGATTAGGCCAGGCCCGTCGAGGATAACCAGCCTTAAGTTTCAGTTGAATTATGACCTTAATTACATCTATCCAGCCCTTCCACAACCACAGGTAGATTAGTGTTTGACTAAATAACTGGAAGAAGATTGTGAGCAACCAGGGATTAGGACGCTTGGGTGCCATCTCAGAAGTCCACCCTACAACAGAAAGTGATTCTTTTGTGCTCCAAATTTTATGGAGAAGAGAAATATCCTTGACCTTAGGGAGAGTGATTCAAGTTTTCTAAAACTTGTGGAACTTCACCTCACCTGCCTCTTCCCTGCCCAGGGATGAGAAGGCCTCTATCTTGAGGCGGCAAGGAATGAGGCTGGAACAGTACCTAAAGATCACAGTGGCTACAGAAGCTACATATAAATCGCATCTACCTCTCCTTGGGGATGGGCCATGGAAACTGAATTGAAAAATCTGTCTCTGGTGCTATAGAGAGCCCTCACAGGGGTCTAATGCCACCAGGCTGAAAAGTGAGTTCTCCAAAGGATCCAGGCAGCAGGATCCAGACATCATGTCAGGTGCTCCAATCCCTTAAAGAGCTGGTAGGGACAAGGAAGTAACTTGCCAGTGCCCTTTTGTTGTCACCGATCTGAGACTGAAAGACGGGGAAGAGATGCAAAGCAACTAAAACACTGTTAGATTATCCACCTTTACTGTCCCTTTTCTCCTGGCTTCTCAATGTAAGTAAACCAATGGGTCTCTCCTATAACGGGGGCTGGCAGGCCTGTACCTCACATGAAAAGAGTTAGAGCTGACTCCGGGGCTCAGGTGCAGGAGGAAGGAGGGCTGTGGGGGTGGCCTTCATGGAAGAAAACAAGGCCTTGGGCATTGAGTAACAGCTGAGACTAGCAAGCCTCATTGTCCAGCATTCCAAGTCGTCTAGCAACATGCTGGCCTCTGCTGCAGAAAGAGAACAGAGGATCCCCTGGCAGAATGAATGGAATCTGATTTCAATTATGTCCAGTACAGTCACCCTCTTCAGGCAGAGAGGCCAGAACACCTGGTGCAGCTTGGGCCACTGTGGCTGCAGGGACAGCACATTACCCAGGTCCTAGACGCAAGTGGGAATGCAGCTTCTTTTCCTCAAGCAGATACCATATAAGTCTAGAGGAGGAGGATGTGAAAATACCAGCCAAGTTCTCATTAGCACTGTGCAGAAAAGGGGAATTATTTCATGTTGATGGACTCTCCCCACAGTCTCTGCACATATTGATCTTGCCTATAATGAGTTTGCTTAGGTCCACGAGTCATCACCCCACTGAGATCTGAGTCATTGGTGGGAGAGTTGAGGTGACAGAGTGTACTTCACTGATTGCACCAGCACCAATTGCTTTGTCCCCGTACCTTTGAGAAAAGCCCAGGGATTCATCTGTATAAAATTTATTTAGATTCTTTTCTTCTTTATCAATAGCATGAGTAGGGCATAACAAATGAGACAGCTGCCCCAGAGAACAGTCTAAGTTCACAGCATTATTCCATAGAACTTTCTGAGATGATGGAAATATTCTATGTCTGTATTGTTGAGCACTTGAAATGTGGCTAGTGAGACTAAGGAATTCTATTTTCATTTTCTTTAATTTTAATTAATTTCAATTTAAGTAGCCACATGTGGATAGCCGCTACTGTGTTGGACAGGGCATACCTAGAAGGAGCTCAGAGAGGTAAGTGCTGTGATAGAGTAGAAACGGGTTAGCCAAAAAGAGAGCCAATGTGGCACAGGGAACTCTGGATTAGGAATAAAAGCCCGGGTTTTAGTCTTAGCTCTACCACTAGGTGACCTCACTCTTTCTGGCTTCAGCCTCCCCAGCTTTGACGCGAAATGTTGGATTAAGGTCAAAAGTCCCAAAATGGTAGCTAAGGACTGAATTTAACTTTGGAATACAGATGAGTTCCAGGAAGATTTTTTAAATATTACATGAATGCCTTCTAGGGTTTTGTGTATGTGGGTGTCCACATGCATGTGCATGGCAAGGGCAGGACGGCCAATAGTCGTTTACTCCAGTTCATCAGAGTTCCTCCCATTCCCCTACACACGCATGCACGCACACACACACACGCACGCACACACACACACACCACTGCATTACCTGTGTAGACTCTGAAGGTATATCGAATCTGTGGCCTTTGGATGAGATGATTTCTAAAGGCCCTTCCTACTTTGTCATGCTGTGAATTTTTAGGCCACTACAGTGCTCCAAGCCTGGTTTTACTTTGGGCACGTGACTAGAGTAATTTCATAGTTTCCTGCCTCTTGTCTTCTGGATTTGATGCTAGTTCCTGAAGTTTGGAGTCAAGGGTGAGGATGGAAATCTGGGAGGATATAACCCCAGCCCCACTCCTCAACTCCACTGTTCGGCTAGAAGTAGGGTTCAGAGCTTCAGAGACCTTGAGGAGGCAGCATGATATATATAGTAGAAAGAACATAACCTTTGTAGTCAGCAGACCAGGTTCAGATTATTGGGTTCTCTTTCTTTCTTTTTTTAAAAAGATTCTATTTATTTGACAGAGAGCGAGAGAAAACACAAGCAGGGGGACTGGCCGGCAGAGGGAGAAGTAAAAGGGGGGCTCTATCCCAGGACCCTGGGATCGTGACCTGAGCTGAAGGCAGATAGGTGTTTAACCGACTGAGCCACCCAGGTGCCCCAGGGTTCTCTTTCTTTGATAGCTGTGTTTCCTGAGTTTATTCACTTGTAAAATAGGGATAGGAAATATTCCTAATCTCCTAAGATCATTGTGGAGTTAAATGATGTAATGTGTTCATAGACTGAGGCATGTAGAAGACCCTGAAAAAATAGTCACCCTCATTTTTCTTAAATAGTCACCCTCATTTTTCTTAGTTAGCCCTCAGGCAGAGGGCTAATTACATCTCTGTCCTCTTTCAGGTTGGAATGGGGGACCATGTGGTCTGTCAGCTCCTGAGCTCAAGGCCAGAAACTGCTAGGGATGAGAAAGATGGGGTCTCCCTCTAGAAACTGTACCAAAGGAACAGACCCAGTAGGCATGGCCAGTCTGTGGAGCTGCCTACAAGAAGTCATGTCAGCCATGGGTTCACCAGATGCCAAGACATTTTGGAGGCCAGGCCTCTAAATCTGGGAGAAGATGGGCCCATACCTTCCATCCTGTGCCCTTGGTGGAAGGTGGGAGGTGGGAGTTGACTGTGTGTGTGCATATCTCCTTATCACTGACTGTCCAAGCCCTGCAGAAATGGCTGCTGGACAATGTCATCTTGCACTCTGGGCTGATTTTCCAGAGTACTCTGAGTACTCTGTGCTTCTCTTACACCACCAACCTCACCATTTTCTCCTTCTCTCTCCTGGTTGTTGATCTAAACATGTGATCCATTCTTGCGTTGACTTACTGAGTTGCACTATGACTGGAGTTTGCAGGACTTATTTTTCTAATTAGAGCTGAAAGTCAGTTCCAGATAAGTATCTTTTTCTATAGGATCCAGAAACATATCAGCGACAGGTTTTGTTGCATTTATCCATTTAAATTGAGCAATCAACTTATCTCTTTGTTTTATTTTTTATTTATTATTACTTTAAAGGGATTAGAGATAAAGTGGTTTAGGGTTCTCTCCGGTGCAACTGCCTTTGCTAGGCCTCAAAGTTATGACCTCCCCAGTTATTTCTATTTCTGCCAATATGAACGCTAGTAAATATCAGGATGCCCAAGTACCTCTAAATTGTGTGTGTGCAAGCACGGTGCAGGGGGGGGCGGGCGGGGGGTAGAGGATGTTTCTTAAGGTTCAAGTTTGGGATTATTGTTGTTTCAAAAGAAGCTGTTTATATCATCCTTTCTAAAGGCTGCTTCTCAGAATGGGTCCCATTTCACAGACTGATAGAGTCAGGGATATTCTGTTACTCCTTTGATAATATTGGGGATTTCAGCCCTTTAGCTCCTCAATCTGCCCTTTGCTAAAGAAAAAAACTCACTATGTGTGTTACAGTGTATGTTCAACTCTGGGCATAATGTCTGACAATATCTGAGGCTGTATAGTGTTCAGTAGAAAACGCTGTAACACCAGAAAATTCCCATTTATTAAATCCAGGGTGGGATTGAAGAGAAAGCAAGATATGAAGGTATGGGTTTAGTAGGGATTTGAAATGATAACTCATTCATTCAACCAGTGTTTAAACTGAGCACTTGTCCTTAAGGAGTTTAGATTCTGTGACCAGGCAGAATGGATATCCCTATTTTCTTAGCTTAGGCAACTTTTCTAACGGGGTAGCTGAGTTGGTGTGTTTTTGTCGTCGATAATAAATCCAAGGTTTCCTTTCCTTCCCTGTAGCCCGGAAGCTGAAGAAACTTGGTAATCTGAAACTACAAGAGGAAGGGGAGGCTTCCAATGCCACCAGCCCCACTGAGGAGCCAACCCAGAAGCTGACGGTGTCACACATTGAAGGCTATGAGTGTCAGCCCATCTTTCTGAATGTCCTTGAAGCCATCGAGCCAGGCGTGGTGTGTGCTGGACATGACAACAACCAACCTGACTCCTTTGCAGCCTTGCTCTCTAGCCTTAATGAGTTGGGCGAAAGACAGCTTGTACACGTGGTCAAGTGGGCCAAGGCCCTGCCTGGTAAGGAAATGGGAAGAGGGGGCATGGGATAAGGGAGATCATATTTAGTGAATTGCTCCTGTGGGCCAGCACCATGTCTTAACTCATGCAGTCCTCATCATAGCCCTATGGAGGGTAGAAATTGGTATAATTCCCACTTGAAAAATAAGGAAACTCCTAAATCAAGGAGAAGAGCAGCATTATAGAGTATCCCATGTTCCTCACATCAGCACACAGCGGTCATGTTTGCATGTTCAACCTACAGACACAGAAAATTTCCCCATAATCACAGATCACATGGACATACCCTTATATGCCTTAGGACACTCTTGTACATGTGCACACACCGGCTTACCCGCAGAGATTGTCTTGCGCCTGACTATCTTCAGTATTACCCGCAGGAGGCAAACCATGGGAACTCTTATAATACGGTATGGTGGAAAGAAAGAGTTGGGCGTCAGAATACTTAGGTTCTAGTCTTAGCTCTGCTGGTAACTCGTTGTGTGATCCCTTCCCTTTCTGGGTCTCAGTTTCTTCATCTGTGCTGTGTGAGGAGTAGTTTGGACTAAATGGATGGTTGTCAAATTGTGCTTCAAGGAACACTTAGTGCTCTTTAAACTGCCCTAGGAATTATAGTAGGAGGTAATATTAGGTGATAATGAAAGAAATACAAAGTGTTTGTCTAACTTCTGCTTGGTTACCACCAGTGATGGGGAACTCACTCTCTCCCTAGGCCATCTGATGTTTGAACAGGTCTGATTATTAACATATTAGAGGTTGAAGAAGCCTCAGAGCTCCTCTGTCCAAGGATTCCCAACCTTTCCTTTATCAGCCCAACTCTTTACTTCTTAAAAGCATTGTATACAGATCCAAGTGGAGCTGGTTGATTTAAAGCCAGTGCCTCTCCCTCACCACCCTGAGAGAAGCCTCAAGTCACTCTTGCAGAATCTTAGGGCTCCAAGGAACACAGTTTGGAAACAAGTGAAGCATACATTCTTTAAGGGTTGTCTTAATACTAAAGTTCTATGACTCAAAGATTCTTTTGAAACATCAACAACCTAAACCTGTTATGGAGTCAAAGATTAACCTGCCTTCTAAGAAAAACTGCCATTCAGAAGGAAATTTATAGTGAACACAGCAGTTTCCTTTGTATTACCTGATTTCATCTTCCTAACAGTCCTATAAAGCAGGGATTCTTTTTCCCATTTAACAGATAAAGCCACTAAAGCTCTAAGAAGTCAGGTGCTTGGCCTACAGTTACACAGTCTGAAAGTAGCAGGGCCGGAACTTGAGCCCAGGTCCCCTCCTGATTCCAAATCCCCTCCTCATCCCACTCTACTGTGGGATGTGTCTGTGTGGTATCCCTGTAGTTCTGGAGCCCTGGGATTTACAGTGAGGGGCCAAAACCTCATCCAAGCCCACTTGGGTCATAATATGATCTTGTTGCCTTCGAAGACATTGTATGTTGGCTATCAAGCCTCTGTTTTGTCTTTCTAACTCACAAGGCCCAGCCATAGCCACCAGACCATCCTAACACCTTCCTCGTTTGAGAAGCTGAGGTCGACTAGCCAGTAAGATCACTGGGAAGAAAGCCTGAGGACTCTGGTTGTGTATGCACTGTGACAAAACAGAGGGTTCACAAAGGGGGAAAAAAATACAAAAAAGAATAAAAGAGAAAGTTGCTTGAATTTTTATTACTTACTCGGCTGGATGTCTTGATGTCGTGTATAACAGAGAATCAGCTTAATCTTTCCTAGTTGTTGCCAACCACTTAAATTATCCTATTTTATGGGATAGAGAACCTTTTCAAAGATGTGATTACACTTAATCCTCACAGCAGTCCTGTTATTCAGAGGAGCTATTACTTCCATTTCAAATGACAAGGTTCAGAGAGGTTAACTAACTTGTTCCATTTGGTCATTTAACAAATGGAGCCAGAATTTGGGCTTACATTGTCTGATTTCTAATTTGGTGGTCTTAATAACCTAGTGCAAATCATTATGGCAGAATTTGTATGACCAGCAGTCACTGGTTTTGTTCAGCTCAACCTCCAGAATGGGAAACGGTCTCTTTACGTTAACAAGTCTGCAAGTCAGTGTCAATTCACCATCTAGCTCATCCAAGGAGATGATTTCCAATCCTGAGTCATTTAAAGTGACAGCTTCAAAAGAAAGCCAATTGCCACACTCATAAGAACTGTTATTCATATCATCAGTAATTACCTGCTAGTTCAAGTTATTTGCTCATCCAGCAGATTGAGTTCCTGTCCTGTGCGAGCCACTGTGCTAGGCATCTACTCCAATAAATTTTGTTACAAGTTTTCTGTGATGGTGATGATATATGTAAATCACCTAGTATAGTACCTGGACATTAACATGTAACAACTGTCAATTGAGGGTGGGTGAGTAGGTTGTATACAAGTACATTTATCATCAGTTGCTTCTGGTTTGGAATCTCAGCTAAACACTAGCTGTGTGACTTTGAGCAAATCACATGTTTGCATGTGCTTCTGGTTTCTCATTTGTAGAGGGGGTACAACAGTCACTGACTTGCTAATTGTTAGTAACATTGAGATCATGTCGAAAGAGGACCTAGCACAGTAGCTGAAACCACAGTAGATGCTGTGTAAATGATGGGTCATTATTATGAGGCGGGAATGCCAAGCCACTGCTTTCACCAAAATCAATTTAAGCTGCCACCAGCCTTGCTTTAGAAGCTCATGCCTGGGTCCCAGGGATGCTTTATCTTATGTGAAGACCTTAGCTGTCAGATGCACTATAGCACTAAAGATTTCCCAGCTGGCCTTTCTTTGGACACGTCCTCCCAGACTAGATAGGGGACTACAGGTTTCCACTGCAGATTGCTAAGCAAATATGATTGACTGAATTTTACCGAGAAAACAGAATCTCAGTGAAACTTTTTCTCTGCTCCCTAACCTGTTTGGTGTGTTTCAGAACCTGACAGTGACTCCTCTCTATTTCTCCAGAGTAGCCTAACACAGTGGCAAATAGGTGTTAAGTGAAGGTGTGCTGAAGGAAACCTGTAGGCTGGAGCTACTGTTTGCTCAAGTCGTCCCTTACTTAATAGTCATGCTAGCTGGGCAGGCAACTTCAAAGGCTGGGCATTAAAAAACAGAGTTAGGTATTGTGATCATATTAGACCTATAGGAAAATTAGCCTGCTGTGTTGTTGATGTGGACACAGTAATTAGGACTGAGCAAGTCTCACTAAGGACCATTAGTATTATTACAATTAATACTACAGCCAAACTAAGCTTTCCCTTTTTTCTCTTCTTTGTTAGTTCTCTGGCATCTCTAGGAAGGAAAAAAGCATCAGTATTGACAGCTTCCTTGGTACTTGTATAGTTTAATCCTCATTCCCCCTCGGCACCCTCATATTCACAAACTAAGCAGTCAAGTCTTTCCTTGCTTCCACTGCAGAGGTTCAGGGTTCAAGCTCCCAGGCCCTTTCCCCAAGAGGTGTTCCATGCTTGGTCCCTGCTTTTTGTGTCCTACTAGGAAGAGTCAGTACCAGGAGTTCTGTGCTACAGAATGACTTCTGGCAGGAAATACTCTGGGGTCTGAGACTTCAGCTAGTCTGTCAGCATATCACTACAGTGAAGATGGGAGGCACAGGCCTGGGAGCTAAGATTGCAGCCAGTCCATTGAGCTGCAGAGGTGGTGATATGGGGACTCTACAGTCCCTGATGTCTGGTAGGCTTGGGACCTAAAAGAAAAGAAAAGCGAAATGGGGTTTTTGTGTGGGCAAGGACCAACCAAGCACAATAATGTGTCTAGACAGTGTAGACTTCAGACCTGGGCCTATGATTAAGAAACACTCACACTTGGTAGTTCTTGGGCTGTGTCCTTCAGCAGTAGAGTGGGAAAAGCACTGAAGTAGAGAATTAGAACACCTAAGTTCTAGTCCCAGTTCAGCCACATAAAGACTGTACGACCTTGGGGAAGTCGGTTAACTTGTCTGGCCCTCAGAATCTTTATTGGCAAAATGAGTGTCACATTGTCTACCCTCCAGGGTTATTGTGAGACTTAAATTAGGTGATCAACAGGAAAGTTAGAAGCTTTATCTAAATTCATGGAAGCATTCCTAATGAGGTATAGCAATACAAACAGATAATTCTGGCTCTTTTGGGGAAAAGAGAAATAGGGTACTGGTAGGAGATGAGCCCTGAGGTGATTCTCTAAACATCCAACTGTCTCGAAACTTCCAGAAGAATATAGCTACATCTGTCCTACCTGTGTGGTATTGTGGAAGTAGCATCTAGGAGCCTCCGTTCTCTCAGACTAAGGGAGATAATTTGGAGATCATCTAATTCCCATTTTGTAAAATGAAAAAAAAAATGGGGGTCCTTATTCCATTTAATTACTATCAAATTAATACATATAATAAATATTAAATTAATATTTCAAAGGTGTGTGCTCAAATATCTGAACTGTGCTATGTACTAGGGAGGAAAAGATGAAAAAAAGGGATGGTTCCTGTCTTCAGGAATCGACAAGTCTTGTGGAGGAGACAGATGTGTACATAAGTGTACATAAGGGTACGTAAGTAAATTCCAGTACTGTGTAATGAGTGCTGTAATTTGTAGGGCTACACAAAATTCAGTAAGAAGGTAAAAGAAGAATCATTAAGTCTTCTGCTTAGATGAGTTGGAAAAGGCTTCACAGAGGAAGTAGCTTTTCAGTGAAGACTTGAAAGATGAGTAGATATTTATCAGATGGAAAGCCTGGGGCGGGAGGAATGCATTCTAGGCGAAGGCAACTGCCTGTGCAGAGAGAGCAGAGATGCAGAGGCATAAGAAAGTATGGTGTGTTCAGCAAACTAAACATTTTAGAATAACTGGAACCTAAATTATGAGAAGTGGCAAGAAATCAGTCTAAGGAGGCAGGCCATAAAGCACTTGTTTGTGTAGAATAATGGCAATAGGGCAGGAATGGCAGAGTAGGAAACTAGCAGAGCCAGGTTACTTGCTGAGTAGAAAATAATGGACAGGAAGTGAGAGTCCAAAAGAGGATCAGAGAAAAAAGAGGGAGCCTGAAGGTGGTGTAGAGAAGGCAGTGGCTATCAAAGGCATTCCAATGTAGGCCGATATGTAATAATATCCATTTCCCAGGGTTGTTAGAAGGGACAATTAAGATTATAGCTAGAAAAGATCTTTGTAAAGTGAAAAGTGCTGTTCACACAGGAGAAGTGATTATTATGCTGCATCTTCAGAAAAGCATAGTAAGCAAGAGCACAGGCTTTGGAGTCAGGCCGCTTGGCTTTGGAACGTGGTCTGCCAATTACTAGCCTTATGATCTTGGACAAGTTTTTAACCTTTCTGTCATGCACGTTTACTGATTCATGGAATGGGCTTACTAATAGTACCTACTTTATTGGATTGCTGTGAAGATTAAATGAGTTAATGTAAGTAACATACAAGAGTTCATCCATTGTAAGCAGCCAGTGTTAGGTTATTATTCTCTTCCAAATGACAGTACCATTTTTGGCCTCCATCATCATCTCATTTGAGTAGCTTAGTGAAGTAGGGAGAGCAAAGAATATTATCCCCACCATATAGTTTGTTCTTTCCTGCTCCTCAGCATTAATGGTCCCTGGGGCTCCTCAGGAGCTGCCTGAGTGCCAGAGGTTCTCCGCCCAGTAGAGGGCTGGGACTTCATTCAGCCCATCAACGCTCACTCTGACCACTGCCTCTGCCCCATCTTCAGGCTTCCGCAACTTGCACGTGGATGACCAGATGGCAGTCATTCAGTACTCCTGGATGGGACTTATGGTGTTTGCCATGGGCTGGCGGTCCTTCACCAATGTCAACTCCAGGATGCTCTACTTCGCCCCTGACCTGGTTTTCAATGAGTAAGTCCCCGTGGGCCCAGAACTCACATAAACATAACATCCTGGCCAGACCTGGTCAGCGGTGATGATAATGGGAGTAACAGTGGGGGGGGGTAGCCCATTTGACCTGTAGGTGAGGCAGTAGAGGCTCCAGCCAGCCTCCCCAATCTGAGGTGCCTTTGCCCTGCCGAAAGGCCACCTGGTGGAAAGCAATGGCGGTGGAGGGGGATGGTGGCTGGTGTGGAGCCATTCCTTTCCCACCCAAGACCTAGTATTTTGGCCATGTTTCTGACCTGTCCTGTCGATTTTCTCCACCTGATGTCAAGGTCCCTCTCCTTCACTCTGAGCAACACAGGGAATGGGCAAAAAGACTAGCTGTGAGAGCTGAAGTTCCTGTGGTCCCCTTGCTACCACTGAGGGCTACTGCCAGTCACCATTTGTCGAGCAGCTCTGCTGTGCCAGGACTATACTAGATACTTTCTAAGTCTAGATACTTTCTCATTGAGCCCTCAGGATAATGAGATTTCCCCTTTTTATAGGTAATATTTTTTAATGCATGGGTAAAAGTAGGCTCAGCAAAATAAAGTGGCTCACCCAAGGCATGATGGTGACAGAATTCAAAGTATGTCTGTATAACTCTCAGCTCTTATACTGCCTCATGGTGGTAAATGACAGGGAGGAGCAGTTCTACCACTCTCTGGCCATGTGACGTTGGCCCAGCCACTTCTCTTCTCTTTAAAAACAGGTTTAAGTGGCGCCTGAGTGGCTCAGTTGGTTAAGCGTCCAACTCTTGGTTTTGGCTCAGGTCATGATCTCAGGGTCATGAGACCTAGCCAGCCCCACATTGGACTCCACGCTCAGCAAGGAGTCTGCTTCCCCTCTCTCTCTGCCCCTACGCCCACTTGTGCTCTCTGTCTCTCTCTCAAATAAATAATACATCTTAAAAGAAATAGCCCATATGTCTATCGACAGATGAATGGATAAAGAAGATGTGGCGTGTGTGTGTGTGTGTGTGTGTGTGTGTGTAATGGAATATTACTCAGCCATCAAAAAGAATGAAATCTTACCATTTGCAAGTAGTGCATGGATGGAACTAAAAGGTATTATGCTAACCAAAATAAGTCAGTTAGAGAAAGACAGTTATCATATGATTTCACTCATGCATGGAATTCAGTATACAAAACAGAGGATCATAGGGGAAGGGAGGGAAAAATAAAATAAGATGAAGTCAGAGAGGAAGACAAACCATAAGAGACTCTTAACTACAGGAACAAACTGAGGGTTGCTGGAGGGAAGTGGCGTAGGGGATGAGGGTAACTGGGTGATGGGCATTAAGGAGGGCACATGGTGGACTGAGCACTGGGTGTTATATGCAACTGATGAATCACTAAACTCTACCTTTGAAATTAATAATACACTATATGTTAATTAACTGCATTTAAATAAAATATTTTTTAAAAATAATAAATAAAAATAAAAACTAAAAACAGATTTAATTAATCCTTGTCCTGCCCACCAGCTCTATTTATCCTTCATGAATTTGGCCAAGGGCTCAGACTTTGGAATTACACTTACCTCAACTAAAATCTCTGTTCTATAATTTCCTGAATCACTGTCTTTGGGCAAGACTTGACTTCTGTGACCTTCAATTTCCCTGTCTGTTAATAAAATATAACTTTCTTAAATGGTTTGTTATGATGACTAAAATGGGAGCTAATGGATGTGAAATGCCTGGCCCATGATAGGCAAGAAATAAAAAAGAAGGACCTTTCTGATCCTCTTTCCCTAATAGTGATAATCTTCTCTCTGTCTGTTGTTCGAGGTCCCCCGATAGCATGTGACTGGAGCTGGCCAAAAAAATCTCCCCAAGGACCTTGAGCTAGTCTCACCACAGAGAATCCTTTTGGATAGGGCAGAAATTGACCTTCCTTCCCCTCCAGCCCTCTAACCCAGAAAAGCCTTAAAATAAAATGTACAGGCTACTGGTTCCTTCCAGTACAGCAAGGCCATATGGGGGAAAATGAGTATCCCCAGCTGCCCTCTTCCAACCCAGCTAACCCTGGTAGCCAGGAGCTAAGAATAACCATTGGGCTTTTGGCACAACCTGCTTTATGGTTTCAAGATCTCCAAAGAGTTACTTAAGATGCCATCTTCTGGGACAGGCCTTTAAAAGCCCTCTCCTGTGTATCTCTCACCCTTACTCTCCTGCTGCCCTCCACTCTGGGCACCTGCACCACCCTCCCCATCCAGAGCCCTAAGACCCTTGAATCTTTGCAAGATGATAATTGGTGTTTTCTAAATCCTCATTCCCTTTTCTGCCTCCGTGGAAGTAATGAGGCACTCCTTCTCAGCTTTCTGGCCCACTCCCATGTAGCTCTTCAGAAGGCACAATGGGACTCTCAGCACGGGCAGGGTCCTAGACCCATCAAGCCCCAGCGCTCCTGAAACAACAGCGCCCCCCTTCCTCTTGTAGGAACCACCATGTGAGAGCTCTTAGAGTCCCTAGAAACATCTAAACCAATGTTTCTCAACAGGGATGCTGGTGACATTTTCAGAGGAATAATTTGGCATTGTGTAGGGTATTCTTGCATATTGGAATATGTTTATGTTTAACATGCCTGGCACCAGCCCACTAAATACCAATAGGATCTCTGTCACTGTAACAGGCCACACTTCCCCCACATATATCTGGCATCCACTAGGGAGGTAGTACACTCCAGTACCAGCCACTAATTTTTGCCAGCCTCCTCAAGATATTAATATGGAGACTGAAGCCCAAAAAGAGAGAGAGAGGGACTATGAGCCAGCCCATTTCCTGATCTCTCTGACACCAAGCCCTGTCATCAGCCCTGCTTTCTTCTCTCCTCCTCCCCTCTTTGTGGAGAACACATGTTGTGAGGGTAATGGGCTTGGACCCCAGCTGTGTGACCTTGACTAAATCACCTAATTTCTCTGAACCTCAGTCTTCTCATCTGTAGAATGGTGAATAGTATTAGAATGGCACCTTCCTACATGTCATTTATTGAACACTTACTATGTGCCAAGCACTGAGCTCAGTGTTTTCTAATTTTCATCTCTTCTGTTACCACTCTCTCTTATTCTCACCTATCTCTGCCCTCTTCCTGAATTCCATTCCTGCCCCTTGTCTTCTGCCTTCCACTCTCTTCTCCCTTTCCTTCCCATTAACTCTCTCCCTACTCTTTTTGTCCTTTCTCCTTCTTGTTCCCTTCCCCTCTGAATTCCTTCCCGTGCCTTCCCTTTTTTCTTCCTTTTTTTCCCCACATTTCTCTGTCCCTGGGACTTGCAGCAGTGTTACATCAATCCTCCACATCAGGACCATGATTTCAAATGGTAAAAAGACTGCAGTGTTATCATCAGCAGAGGCTTGGAAGTACAGTAGAGCCTGGAGCCAGATCAGGTCCAAGGGTCAGCAGATCTTACTCAAAAATTCTCTAGGGTGAAAGACCTTGGAGCAACACTGCTTTGGTCAGTTGACTTGTGATACTGTCTAAACACTTCCTCTTTCTAGCTGGTCTCCAGCCTGGATTGAATACACCATCTGCCCCCCTTCCCTTTTTCTCTAGGGCAGCCAAGATCTTTCTGAGATAGGGTGCTGGGCTTCCACCCAACCAGTACCAGGCCTGCTTAGCCCATGGACAAGGCTAGTGGTTTGGGGACCAAAATGTCAAACCACAAACATCAAGCCTAGTCTTGGTCTTTTTCTTCACCACTTAAGTGGGTGTTAAATGCCCTTTCCTTTCTCCACAAGATACAAAATCAGTTTCTCTCTCTCTCTCTCTCTCACACACACACACACACACACACATGATTTCTGAAGTGCTGAAAACCAGGAAAACCAACTAGCAGGAAGATGGTGCATCTCCTAGAGGCTTGCGCTTGCCATGGCCACTCATAAAACAGAGAGGTTGTTCACCCCTTAGAAACTGTTCAAGCCTTGGCCACTTCCCTATATAATTTATAGGCGATAATGTGATGATCTGTTGACAAGTCACTATAGTGAAAACAGCTCACATGTGTTTACAACTCCCGAACTGTGATAAGGAACCACCATTATATGAGGGAGTAGGCTCCCCTTCAAGGTACATTTAGATTGGACATTTGGAAACACTTCCTGGCTGATTTGATAAGTATTGGAACTCACTTTGTGAAGGGACAGTGGGGAATCTTCTTCCCTGGATTTTTTTTTTTTAAGTGACAAAATTTCTAGCAAAAGAAATGGTATTTATGCCAAGAGACAGGGGAATTGACAGGATAAATTACTGTGGTCACTCGGAAATCCTGGTGTCCTATGTTAGGAGTTGATTTCTAAAGCTTAACTCCTAGAAATACTCCATGTTGGGATGCCTGGGAGGCAGGTTCTGGCTCTGGCTGGAGCTGGGATATTAGAACTGTAGTCAGGGAGACAAATGAGCCTGGCCCATGGTGTTGATTTGGTTAGGCTTTCCTGTCTCTGTCTCAGGAAACAGGAGGGGCACGGGGACCTGGAAATTCCATGTGCTAACCCCTATCCTGACCAGGGAAGATGAGTAGTTACCAGGATGTCAGGATTTGGGGGGGGAAAAAAAAAGAAGAACCTTGTTCCTTGTCAATGAAGCACCAGCAGGAGAAACAACGAGCTCTTCTTGGAGAACCTGGGCAGGGCAGGGCAACCAAAGACATTCTCTCTGAGCTTATTGTTAAGCCTTCCCTTACTCCTTTCCTTTCTCCGTCTGTCTCCTCTGCAGGTACCGCATGCACAAGTCCCGGATGTACAGCCAGTGTGTCCGAATGAGGCACCTCTCTCAAGAATTTGGATGGCTTCAGATCACCCCCCAAGAATTTTTGTGCATGAAGGCACTGCTGCTATTCAGCATTAGTAAGTGCCTGGAAAGACAAAAATGCCCCTGGGGTCAATAGGGGCTCAGAGGGGAGCTACTTTTTCCATTAAAGATTTATCAGGGAGAAGCCAGCCCCTAGGCATTTCCCTTCTTCGTTCACCCTCCCTCCTCCACTCTCCCTTTAGCATCCTTTTTTTCTACCAGGTATGAATTTCATGGCTCAGACTATTTTCTTTGCTAGAACTCAACCTCTGTTAGATCCCCAGCTACCTCCAGTCTCTCTTTGGAACAAGGCTTTTGGAGCTGGCTATAGCAGGTCTCTGAATTTTTCCATAACTTCTATCATAGAAACAGGCAAAGACCACCTTATATTTATTGCAGAGCAGAAGGAATTGCCTCTGGAAGGAATTTCCTCTTCTGCCAATAATAGGAGGTCTGTGTGAGCAACTCAGATAGGGTTTATTAGGCAGCCAAGTAATGTTTCTTTAATGTCTCTTCTAAGCAGAATGTTATCTTAGCCCCCGTGAGGGAAAAAGGAGGTCAAATTTGATATTCAAAGCTATATATTTTAATTGTCTAAATCAGAGCTGGACAGTGACAACATAAAACCACAGGTTCTAAGAAATGTGTAGATGAGAAGACTAGAAAAAGGAAAGGCTCAGTAAATTTTGTTTACTCAATGTCCTTCAGATTGGGTCCAGCTAGCCTTTTGTCTAGAACTTCCTGGCAGACTGAAGGACCCAGGCATACAGACTTCAACTGACAGGAAACCAAGTAGATGGTTCCCTCCCTGTGGGGGTGGGGGTCAAGTTTGTGGTCAGAAAACTTGGTGCTTTGTCTAATGCTCCTTTGTGGGCATGTTTCCCCTCCCCATTCTGTCTTCATCCCACATCAGTTCCAGTGGATGGGCTGAAAAATCAAAAATTCTTTGATGAACTTCGAATGAACTACATCAAGGAACTTGATCGTATCATTGCTTGCAAGAGAAAAAATCCCACATCCTGCTCGAGGCGCTTCTACCAGCTCACCAAGCTCCTGGACTCTGTGCAACCTGTAAGCAAATGATGGAGGGTGCTTCGTCAGGGAGAAGCAAGTTGATAGAGCTAAGTGATCATATGCTCCTCTAGGATCCGGCACCACCTGTTGGGAGGTGCTTCCATTCTCCTCTGGCTTTGAGTGTGGTCCAGGAAGAAAATGCAATGGAGAAGAAAGGAACACAGGTCACATTGCCCCTGGATGTTGTGAAAGAGGTGGAGGAGTTGAGAACAGAGCAGTGGGGACTCAGGGAAAGGGCTTAGAGCAGATAAGTTCTCCAGGCAGACAAAACAGACCTGAATGTTTTTCCCCTCTCCCTTCAATCATGTGTGTGTGTGTGTGTGTGTGTGTGCGCGCGCGCGCACGTGTGCGTGTGTGTGTGTGTGAAAGACACAGGAAGAGAATGTGTGTGTGGGGGGGTGTGGGTGTGTGGGTGTGTGTGTGCATTCACGTGCATGTGGTGGGGAAGAGGAACACAAGGTCCTGAGTCAGAGAGCTTGCAATGGTGTAAGGGATCTCTTGGGATCCCTCAGTAACTCCCTGGAGACCATTTAGTGTACATGTGTGCGAACATACACACATCCACAGGGAGGACCAAGGACAGGGAAGGAGGAAGAAATCAAAGGTGGGGGGAAGAGCCTGACGGAAGCCAACTCCTGGTCAAGCCTGTTTTCTCCCTCTCATTGCTCCCCCTACAGATTGCGCGAGAGCTGCATCAGTTCACTTTTGACCTGCTAATCAAGTCCCACATGGTGAGCGTGGACTTTCCAGAAATGATGGCAGAAATCATCTCTGTGCAAGTGCCCAAGATTCTTTCTGGGAAAGTCAAGCCCATCTATTTCCACACGCAGTGAAGCTTTGGAAGCCCCCATTTTCTCACCCCACTCCACTCCCCTTTTCAGATATCTTCTGCTTGTTATAACTCTGCACTACTTCTCTGCAGTGCCTTGGGGAATTTCCTCTTTTGATGTACAGTCTGTCATGAAGATGTTCCTGAGTTCTATTTGCTGCACTTCCCCCCCCCCTTTTCCTCCTTTCTCTTTTTTCCCTACCTATCTGACCCTCCCATGGCACTTTCAGACTCTGCTCCCTGCCATGGCTCTTATCTGTGCTTTGAATGGTGTTGTATTTCTTTAAATCTGTGATGATCCTCATGTGGCTCAGTGTCAAGTTGTGCTTGTTTATAGCACTGCACTGTGTGCCAGCCACACAAAAGTTTACTCACCTAATGCCACGGGAAGTTTAGAGAGCTGAGTATCTGGAAAAACAAAAACAAAACAAACAACCCTCCTAAAACCAAAAATCCTGTAGGGTTTTTTCTGCTTAAAAAAATAGAAAAACAAACAGAATTCCCCCAACGAGGCCAACAGTGACTAGAATAAGGTGAAAATTGCAAGCCCATGGGGAGTCACTGCTTTTTTTTTTTTTTTTCCAAGTTCAGCCTCCCGGGGAGACTTTATTTTCTGCCAATGGCTATTGCCATTAGAGGGCAGGATGACCGCATAGATGAGTTAGGAGGGGGGAGACAGATTTAAGAGAGGACAAAGAGGACAGATGGATCACCAGTACCTGCCCACAGCCTTGGCCCCTGACGGCTAGACTGCTTAACTGCAGTGCAATTCATTGTACTGAAAATGTGCTTCTTGTTTGAAAACGTGTCTGCATGTGAACGCCTCCCCTCCAGCCAATCCTTTTTCTCTCTCACCCTCTGCCTCCACCCTCAAATTGACTTTCAGTAAGCTTTTCTAAGAGCTTTGGACTGAATGTTCTCTTTAGCCAAAACTTGGCCACTTCCACTGAAGAGTCAGACCAGTAAGAAAGAAAGGAGAGATCTGACCCTTTGGAAGGCCCTATCCAGAGCCAGGTCTGCTTTCCCATTTGTAGGTCAGGGAAGAGGCTGGGGCTGGAGTCAGAGGAAAAAGAATCGATGGGTTGGTTGTTTTCCTGCTTAGGACACTGAAGATTTGATCACTCTTTGCCCTTACCTTTAAAAGACCCCAATGTTTTCTGCCTGACTCCATGTGGCTGCAAGCTCCCTCTTACCCTCCCTTCAGTGTTTTGTGGGCCTGGACTTCACCAGATTGTATTACAGCCATGGTGGTGAGGTTTGTCCTAAATGGCATGTTCACAGACTCTCTGCTAAGAGCTGCTACCACCAAGAAGGCTAGCAAGCCAGCAGTCTTGATGCCAGTAGGCTGAAAGACTTCTTACCAAATGTCGTTCATCAACTATCAGATCTCTGGAGCCCTTAGACAAACTGGAAAGAAGGCATCGATGGGACTGGACAAGCCAGACATCTTGCCCTTGTCCCCTAGAGATGATACCTTCCCACCAAGTGAAGAAATACCTACTTCTTCCTTCAGAGCAGCTAATGGGGCTATGCGGGTCACGGTTAAAGAGAAAACTCAATTACCAGGGTGAGAAGAATGAAGGCACTAGAACCAGAAACCCTGTAAATGCTGTCCTTGCCCCCCAGCATATCCACCTGCAGAAGTCATGGGAAGAAGAGAGAAGAAACTAAGAGGAGACTGACTACTAAATTAAAGTCTTCAAAGGCAAAATCTAAAGCCAGATGGGCACCATCTGGTCGGTTTACCCATCATCCTCCTCTGCTGCTTATTCTGGGCTCTGACATCGGCCATACTCACTCAGACCCCCCCACCTTTGTTGCTGCCTCTCAGCCAGAGGGAGGCTGAAACATTTATACTACAGAACCATGACCTCCTTTGGAAAGGTCTGGTTTGCGTGGCTCCAATGGGCTGCCATCCATGAACTCAGGGTGTGCTCTTGGGACACTGGTTTCATATGGTCCTTTGGCACACCTCTCTTTTGCTGACTTTGTCCCCCAATCCTGAGTTCAGGGGCAATGTCCGCCTACTTTCTTGTCTTGGCAACTGCCTCCTCAGTTAGGTCTTACATTCATCTGCTAAATTCAAGAAATCGGGGGCCAATTACCAAGCTGCCCATTTCAGTTGGTTCACTCTACTTATTGAGAAGATAGTTTCTGAGTGACACGCTATTATCTACATGGGTTTCCTCCCCTGATTTCTGTGCTGATATTAATAGCCAAATGAACTTGCAAAACAGCTTCTTTAAATAACAAGGGACAGGGGAACCTAAGATGGGTGATATACCAATCCAAGACTGCTGAACAAAACTAAAACTGACAGGTTCTCTTTCTGGGGTAGGATAGACAAATCCTGGTTTTCTTCATTAGGACATCATTTGGCTTATGTAAGCTCACGAGATTACTTCTGGCTGTTTTAAACAGAAAAAAAAAATCCATCACTCTTTTCAGTTACACTAGGCTATAGTTTAATAGCTCCTTTACATCTGTTTTAAAATTATTTTCCTCTTTTATGGTACATGGATTTGATTATATCATTCTAATATCTCTCCTTGTAAATACTAGATGCTCTCCTTTTTATTTCTCTGACTACCAAATTTTTCACCTTTATGGATTTCCCAATTGTGACTCTTGTCTTTATGAATATATACGTTTTGCATTTGTAAAAGCCAAAAATCAGTGAAACAGCAGTGTAAATTAAAAACAGCAACAACTAAACTACTCTGAAATTCTGAATGGCAAGACTAGGGAAAAATGGCCTAAACAAGGCTGTAGGCCTAGTGTTTTCGCACTGGGGTTTCAGTGAGTGAAGGAGATTTTAGCTTGGCTTTGTTCTCCTACAGATAAAAGGGGGATTCTCTTTTTTTCTTTTGGTCATTGATGTGCTCGCCAGTGTAACTGACAGAAGTCTCATTTGGCATGCGCTCTGCTGTACAAACAGTTGATGTGGTTGGTACACTGTGGCTCACCCGTGAAGGCTCAGCCACCTCGATCCACTGACCTGGTGAGCTGAAAGATGAGGATCACTCACCAGGCAAGTCATGGTAACTGTCTCTAAAGCGGTTTGCAGTGCTCGATGGGGATGGAGCGAGGAAGAGAAAACGAAGGAGCACCAGGGACAAGGCCCCATCTGTGCTACACGGGAGACAGCCGCCAGAGCCGCAGACTCTGTGGCCAAAGAAAAGAGTCGTGTGGCAGTTTCAGCTCTTGGTCACTGAGCAGCTCTCCCAGGCTTGGCCTCTGAGCTGAAACAGGGGTTGGGTTCTTTGTTCTATAGCTTTCCTGTGCCACAGACAGTATCGTTCTTGGAGAGTTCATTATTTTTCTCATGAGAATGGAATTTTCTGAAGGATTCTGTCATATATCTTTGAAAAAGAAAATCGGTAATACACATATTTTTATGTATGTTCACTGGCACTAAAAAAGAAGAAAAAAATGCTTTGCCCTGTCCTTTGGATAGTTGCTGAGGTGATTCCAGGTTGCGAAACAATGTGCTGATGCTAGAGTCCCTCTCTGTCCATACGCTACTTCTAAATCCATATAGGCCTATGTAGCAAGAAGTATTCTATTTGCACTTTAAGAGAAAGTAGTTTCATCGTCCACATGATAGTAACACTACACAAATGACCTAACTTTGAGCTTCAAGTAGCTTCTAAGTGTTTGTTTCATTAGCCACAGCACAGACTTGGCCTTGCCCTCTTTTCTCTCTTGATAATTCTGCAGGGCTCAAAAGCCCAAGCCACTCCCGTCTACCCCGTTCCATCCCTGTGCCAGGGTTGCGCCTCATGAGACTCTCTCCAGACAGCCCTGTAACTATGCCTGCATGGCTCTGGGGAGACAAGAGGCTGACTACTAATTATCTTGTGCCAGTTGCCCAGGTGAGAGGGCACTGGGCCAAAAGAGTGGCCTTTGTGCTCAACCTCCTGTAAGGGGTCATGGGAACCAGGAATGCTTAAGCACAGGATTCAATCCCAAACTTAGGGTCAAAATAAGTCATTTAGCATGTGCATTTTCTTGTAAAAGGAAGTTTCTACCCCTGCTGCCTTTTATAGGCAGGTCTGTTTCTCACCACTAATCTCTTTGAAAATCTTTGAAAGCAGTTTGTTTTTTTTGTTTTTTTTTTTTAAAGACAAAGAGATGAAAGCATCACATTATGTAACCAAAGATTACACTGTATCTGCTAAGATACCAAAATTTAAGAGCAGGGAGGGAACAAGAATTAGTGCCTCTTTGGTCAACTATCCAAAGACAGACTACAGGACTTTGTTGTTGACTGACTTGTAAGAGTTTGGTGGGTTTTTCCCCCAACAATATAAATGCTTAGAAAAGTGGAAGATAATTTTGAAAAAACTGGGTTTATAGGTCCTTCACTAAGTGATTTTATAAGCAAAACTAGCTTTCCTTTTCTCTAGTAGTTGCTGAGCAAATTCTTAAAGCTCCATTGTTGCATGGTTGGAAACGGAGCTGTCTTGGCCACTGTGTTTGCTAGTGCCCGTGTTAGCGTATCTGAAGATGTGAAGCCCTTGATGAGAAGGGGAGCATTTAAAGGACTAGATTTTGCACTAGAGGGACAGCAGGCAGAAATTCTCATTTCTGCCCACTTTGGACGGCACAAAAAGTTCTCTTGGGTTTAAGGCAGAAGGTTGAAATATATTGTAAATGAGTATTTGTATCCATGTTTCAAAATTGAATTATATATGTATAGATATAATGTGTTCTGATAGCTTTATCTTTCTCTGCACCTTTATATTTGGTTCCAGGTCATAACTGATACCCTGTACTTGTAAGAGAGGCTACAGTTACATTTTGGAAGCTCTCTCAGAATGGAAAAGATACGTGGGTTGATCAGATAACGAAGAGATCTCTGCCTCTATTGGGGCCTTACCCACAGGCCTAACAGAGGAGCAGAGGGGGAAAAGAATAGGGTACATGATGTATTGCACTTTACTAGCCCAAGACAGATGAATGTTTAAAGGGTGGTGAAGACTCATTGGAATCAACTGGGATTTCCCATAGAGAAGGCCCAGACTTGGGGCCAAAGGCCCACCCAAATGATTAACCGATAGACCCCTGATGGGACCTGAGCATTGGAAGAAGGAGAAACATTCTTTGTTCTTCACCATCCTTGTGAGAAAAGGGCAGTTTCCTGCACTTGGGAACCTGGAGCAAGTGCTCCATCTTTTACACAATCCACTCACCTACGATTGAGGTGCTCTTGCTACTGGGTGTCTTGTGTGCTCTAATTTTGGTTTTGGATATGTTCTGTAAAGATTTCAACAATGAAAATGTGTTTTTATCTGTCAAAAAATTGTCAGTGTACTAGAAGTTGTATCTCTGTAGATGCAGGTCCATCTCTGCCCTTGGGTAGGGATGTTTTTCTTCAATTAAGAAATTGACACTGGGGTCTGCTGCCCAGAGCCTCCCAACCTTAAACCATTTCTAGGTGAAGGCAGAAAATTCCACATTAGTCACTCCTCCTCTTCAGATGCTTAGGCTGAGGTAACAATTTGGAATGTTCCTGCACCCAGAAATTAGTGATAAGTATTTCAATTTGGCAGGTAGACTTTTAAAGGGAAAAACGGCCTTTGATGCAGTTTTGATTTATCCCCATTCGATTAAGCCAAAAAGTAATATGCATTGATTGGTTACCAACCCCAATTCAGTATAGTGGGGGTGTTGATCCCTTTCCTTACCTCACCTGTCTCTTAGCCTTCTATAAAATTAAATGAGGAGCTATGGACTGAGTAGCCCCTGTAGCCTAAAACAGTCTCCACATGCACTAATTCATGAGGCTGTCTGTCATATGGCTGCAGATTCCACTGGCCACCAAAGACTGAAACACATACGTATCCCAACAGAAAGAAATTCCTAAAATGTTGCTGCTTCTCCGGTGGCCCCCCTCCCTGGCTGCTGTTTTACCTTTTGGGACTCTGTTCCCTGCATTGCAGGCAGGCCAGGCCTGCAGTCTTTCCCATCCTTAGCCCTTGGTGCTAACTGTCCTGCAGTGAAGTGCCTGTGGGATTGTCCTATTCCATAAGCCACTCAGGTGCTGAGAGTAGCCACCATTGGGATAACCCAGGCTAAAAAAAAAAAAAAAAAAAGAGTCCCCTCACCATTCAGTGACACCTTTCTGCTTTCCCCTAGACTGGAACGTTGATTAGGGAGTGCCTCAGATGTGACATTCTTGTGCTGTCCTTGAGATTAATTTGGCAGCAAGAAGGAGCAGACAATGTAACCAGATGTAAGAATTAACTTTCAATGTTGAGGGAAAAAAGAAGAAAGCATCATATAAAGATTTTTTTTTTTTTAAAGAAACATTAATTTTGCTTGGAAGTTCTTTTGATGGGGCTTCAGTTCTTACAGCGGCACTTGGCCTCCACTGGGTAGCAGGACCAGCCCCAAGCGCTAGTGCTGTGTTCTTCTTTTTGTAATCTTGGAATCTTTTGTTGCTCTAAATACAATTAAAAATGGCAGAAACTTGTTTGTTGGAATACACGTGTGACTCTGGGTTTGTCTCTGTCTCTGCTTTCAGAAATGTCATCCATTGTGTAAAATACTGGCTTGCTGGTCTGCTGGTTAAAACTTGGCCGCGGCCCCTGTTGTGGCTGCAGGCTCAAGTTATTGTTAACAAAGAGACTCGAGAAAAGCTGCTAATGTCCTCTTATCACCACTCTTAATTTGTTAAAACATAAAACCATCTAAAATTTCAGAGGAATGTCATCAGAGTTTTTTTAATTAGCTCTTTTTTTATTGGCTGTCTTTATTGAAGTCAAGAGTTGGTATCATGCCCAGTGGCCTTTTATGCTATGTTGATTTTCACATATTTTAAAAAATCTTTGCACAGGGGTTATAAATTTGCCCTGTGTTGGTCCTAGCATAGGTTGAGCTGGGACCACCAAAATATCAAAGAGTCTGGGCTAAGAAAGCACAGATGGACCCTGATGACCCATTACAACTTCTCATCAAAAACCCTGAGCTTGTCAAACAGGGGAAAGGCACACAAAACCCAGCTGTTTACCCTCATCTTCATCCTTATGGGAACATAAAATGATTGGGAGCTTCACTGCCCGGTTCTTGCCAAGCTTCAGATAAGGAATGGGCATGTTCACATGTTCACATTCTCACTGTTTTTCAAGAGCCATACCGTCCTTGGCCACCCAAGTAAAATCTGAACCAGCTTTCTTTGAGGTTTTTAAAGGTTTAGGCAAAGTGGCCTCCTGTCTCTTCCCAGTTTGGATACCAACATGAGATCCCAAGTTGAATTTCTGAGTTAAAGATACAGACCATCAATGAGGTGTGACAGATGCATTAAGGAACAGTATGAAAGCACTCTGTGCCTCAGTGTCCTCACCTGTAACAGGGGTTGTCACAATGCCTCTCTCCTGGGCCAGACTAGAGATTCAATAAGAATGTATGGGACCCAGCTGGTGAGACAAATGCTCTTACTTCATTCCCTGTTAAAATGTGAGAACCCCTGAGAAGGATCCCAAGTTGAGATGTATTTGTCATTGACCCCCTCAGAGTGGATGGATTTCTCAAATTTTTCCTGAACACAATGCTTGACGGAGAGAAGAAGAAAACAAGAGATTTGGGGGATGTGTGTGTCTAAATAATAGAGAATACGTATGTTTGTGGGTTACGTGTGTCAGAATCTGCCTCCAGAAGACCCCTCTGACCACCATTGCTTAGTTCTCTTCTCTTGTACCTACAGAGAGTGGTCTAACAGCCACCCTACTTGGTTTTATTTACCACTCAGTCCCTGCCTAAAGTAACAAGGTAGTTAGCTTCCGCCATAAATTTTCCAAGGTGTAGCAAAGCACAGAGGTCAGGGAGACAATGACATCTGGTGGATTTTAAAAAGAGCTGGAATCCAGAGTCCAGTGTGTGACTTGTTCATAGTCATACAGCTAGTGTATAGCTAGGATTCTGACCTGCTGATTCACTTGCTATATGGTCCTGGGCAGCTCTCTGCCTTTTTCTAGATCTTAGTTTTCTCATCTATAAAATGAGTGTATCTGAAGATGTGGAATAAGACTAGACGAAATGGGAAGCCCCTTCCAATATGGAAACCATGCTTATTGCAAACTACAGTAACGCCTTTCTTAATCATGACATAAAAGGGGAAAGGAATGGGCGTTTCATTATCCCTAGAACGCGTAGTTTTGGAACTAAAATCCCCATATTTGTACTCAAGAAAAATTTACTGAATACCTGGAGAGCACAGGGTCAAAACAACAATTGAGTCCTGTGTTATCAATGCTGTCAACCCCTTGATTGATGGGAAAGGGCTCAAAAGTGAAATAATTTGTTTACCATTTGGATGATCTCATAAATAGCAGAGATACTTAGGAGTTAAGCAAGCCACGGTCCATGCTTTCATGAGTTTATAGCCTATTAAATGCCTCAGGCCAGGCCAGTCTGGGACTTTTTATCAAATCCACCCCCAACCTCTTTACATCCATCCCTCAGACAAGATTAGGCTAACTTTTGATCGATAATTGCTGCCTTTTAGAGATAGAAGGGGTCTTAGCATCTAGCCCAAACATTCTTCACATGAGAAATCCAGGCCCAAAAAAAAAAAAATTATATATATACATATATATATATATATATATATATATATATATATATATATATATATATATATATATATATATAGTGAATTAGGACTTGTGGCAATGGACTAGCCCTAAAACACCAGCTTATAGTCCCTTCATATGCCTGCAGGCAAAATGCTAGGGTGACAGGGCACCTGAGAATCTTTACCATCCCTTTGCACATTGGTTCAGAACCCTGGTGTGAGAGCCTCTGCTTCTCATCTGTTTTTCCCATGTACACAGTTCAAGAATCTCTATTCCAACCACAACACGTACTTCGCCTACCATCCACTCCCCAAGAGGTTTTCTTCATGCCACTGCGGGGGGTGGGGTGAGAGGAGGAGAGAATTATTGACAAAGCTGGAGAAGTAACTGCAAAAGCAATGAGAAACATTTAAAAGCACACTGAAGTATGACAATGTAGGCTTCTTAGTTAACAGGCAGATGCAGATGACTCACATTCTCAGATTCTCCTGCCACCATTTCTTCAGACCACAACTTCCATTCTTCCCTCAACTACTTCCCCAGGGTACTTCAAGCAAGGAGAAGGCCATTTGGGGAACTTGGACTGGCTGCCAACCAGGAAGACTGTGCCAAGAAAGCGGACTTAAACCAGACTCTGCAAATAGCCCCACCCCTCCCAATCGCCATTGGGTACTTCAAATCTCAGATCAGAAAATAGGCCAGCAGAGCAGCAGATAACTGTGAGAGGCACATCACCTGCCACCTGGGCAGTGACACTTGTCCCCAAAGGAAGTAAGGCCTTTTGGTGCTTATACATAGTGGTAAGAGTGGATATGAAACTTGTGAAAGAGCCCCACCACCTCTAAAGCCTGCAAGGATTCTTCACAGGGGTTCAATATCCAATTATTCCCTCATTCATTTGTTCTTTCATTTATTCACAAACTATTTGGGCAACCATTATGTACCCCACACAGGAACAAGACAGACATGGTCTCTGTCCTCATGGAGCTTCCAGTATTAGTGGGAGAGACAGAAAAAAACACAGACAATTGTAATATGTAATAGGTACTATGGTGAGGGAAGTTCAAGGTTCTGTTGAGGTACAGAAGAAGAATGCCTCTCATAGAGTAGTGGGAAGGTCTAGTCAGAATCCTTCTTAGAGCAGTCTAGGTTGTGACCCAAGCTGAATGAAGATGGGGCTGAGGGTAAAGAAAAAGGCGTTCTTCCTCAGTCAAGAGACAGCAGCCTTGTTAGGGAAACTATGAATAGTTTAGCCTGAGGGAAAAGTTGGAAGAAGGGTGTAGCTGTGAGAGAAGAGGGTAGAGAGGAGGCGCAAGCAAAGCCGAGGAGGCGCAAGCAAAGCCAATGAGGGCCTACGTGTCACCCTAAAGAATTTGTGCCTTTACCCCAAGTTTAAAGGGGGAACCGTAGAAATCCTTGCCAGCATTTCAATTCCCAGAACATAAGATCTCTTCTGAATCTCACCACATCCGGTGGAGGCAGGAAGGTCAGAGATCAAACCCATTTTGCAGATAAGGGAACTGAGGCTCTATATGGTAAATAATTGGCAAGGCTGTTCCTGAATAATTAAGGGCCGCAAGTATAAACTGAAAAAAACTGAATCTCCTGATTTCCAGTCTCAGGCTTCCCAGAGTAGACCAATCTATCAAAGACTTTAGGACCTGATGCAATTCTTAGAATGTGTCTAAATGTCTCTGTGGTGACAGTATGTGCTGTCTACTATCCCACCTGTACCTACCGTTGTCTTCCTGAGGTGACACTCACTGGCATGGGGTTCCTAGATAGCAGACAGGGCATCCCAGAGAGTGGTAGCAACATTTTAAAGAGTAATGCAGGCTGTGGGAAGTCAGCCAACTTGGTGTTCTGTGGGCACGGGGCATCACTGATTGATCAAAACAGGAATTCGGAAAAAAATGCCGAAGAAGAGACAACATTCCACATTTCTAGAGAAGATAGTATGTCCAGACTCAGGCCTTGAACAGTGAAAGGAAATTTCACAGGAGGGAAAGGTAGCTGAGCAGAGAAGCAAATCAGAGGGAACAGCATAGATAAATATCTAAGAGGCAGGAAATAGTATGGCTTTGACAAAGCAAATAGGAACTAGTAAGGAAAAATAAGATAAAAACAGACAGGGAGGCAAACCACAAGAGACTCTTAACGCTAGAGAACAAACTTGAGAGTTGCCAGAGGGGAAGCGGGTGAGGGGATGGGGTAACTGGGTGATGGGCATGAAGGAGGGCAGTTGATGTAATGAGCACTGGGTGTTCTATGCAACTTATGAATTCTACCCCTGAAACTAATAATACACTATATGTTAACTAACTTAAATTTAAATAAAATCTAAAAAAAAACAACTAGTGGGGAGTAAGTGCTAGAGATGAGTCTGGGCTAGAGCTCATTATGAAAAGCCCATGTATCCTGTTAAGAAGTGGAACTTTTTCTGTAGGCCGGTCATTCTCAGCTGCCATATGTGAAAGCTAAAGGCCGCATGTGACATACTCTCAAGGGAGCTTCCAGTGTTCCATGCAATTGCTGACACATAGTTATTGCTCAGCCCTTCCCTCCCACTTACAAAAGCAAATACAGGTAAGACTGACAGTATTGAAAGGAAAAATGTGAACCTCCTAGTGTATATTTGTTAAGAAAATATCCACCAACTTTAATGTTTAAGGTATTATCAACAATTTCTTTTTTGCCACAACTCACAACTGATTATAGAACACCACTTGACATAATTAAGGATTTTTTTTTAACAAAAATGTAACAATTAGTTTTGGGAGATGGAAGCTATACTAAAACATTATATAAGAATACAATAGAGGGTGACACAGAGATTGACTCAGGGAATAATAATAGAATGTACTAAGCACTTACTATGCGCCAAGAATTGCTAAAGCTAAACTTCTTATACTGAGAATTACATAA